ATTTTATTCTTTTTTCCATTTCTTGGCAGAGTGATGTCCCTTGTTGCATTTTGATTGTTATTTAACAAAATTTCTCTCAAAGAACGTAATTTCTATTTATCTAAGCCTAATTAGCCTTTAGACTATTTTTATGTCGGCTTTTATAGCCAGACAAGTAAGCCATTCGAACTGACTGATTAAATTCACGTCTTCCAGTTTTAGATTTTGTCTCATAGATTTTTACATACTTAATGTAGTCGGAGTACTGTTCGATTAAATAAAAGTAATGTTATCATGAAAATCAAGCACTTTTTAAAATGGCGGCCCCCGGAGTGGCGGTGAATGCCGGTAATTTTAATTTTAAATATATAATAAAAGTAAATAATGAGCTATATTGTATTGCTTTTACTAAATGAAATAAAATGAAATCGTTATTTAGATATTCAGAACAATTTGAAGCACATGTTGGTGAAATTTTCTTTGTTTTTGCAATATTTGTTTTCAAAACGAAAGAAAAAATACGCTAAAAAGCCAAAATCAAAAAGAATCAGTAAAATTAATAATAATATGAAAAAGGCAAAGCCTCAAAGCGAGCTCAATTTTCTTTTTCCGTAAGATAGTTAAAAATAATCATTTTTGTTTTACATTTTCCGTTTTAAATTGCCATTCGGTATTTTATACACTGCTTCCGTTTATTCTGGTTCCCTCTTTCTATCATGGTTCATATATAAGTGCGCAGGACACCAGTCTACGCTTCCGTTTTCAATCAGAGTACATCGGCTTTTATCGTTATCTTGTAATTCAAAAAGTTGTGATGTGTCCAATTCGGTACTTCGGAATTAAGTTTTCAAAACCATCACGTACCAGGTCCTTGCATTACCGAAAAGCTCACTTTGCGAGCCGGCCCTTTCGGGCCAGCGCGTCGAGCTTGCTATGAAAAAGGCGGCAATCTACTGGATTAGACCCCTATGTGTTTTTCAGTAGTAAAACTTGTATATAATACACTAAAGAAAACGGAATGAACCTAATATATACTCCTGGTTGAGACTCCGGGGTCTAATCCAGGATGTAAAGCCTCAAAGCGAGCTGGATTTACTTTTACCATGAAATAGTATAAAATTATTGTTCATTTTTATTTTACATTTTCCGTTTTAAAATCGTCATTCGGTATTTTATACACTTCCGTTTATTCTGGTTCCCTGTCCTCTTATGCTTCCCATACAAGTGCGCAGGACACCAGTCTACGCTTCCGTTTTCAATCAGAATACCTCGGCTTTTATCGTTATCTTGTAATTCGAAAAGTTGTGATCTGTCAATTTAGCGCCTCGGACGTAAGTTTTCAAAACCATCACTATATAGCAGGTATTGGCGTTACCGTAAAGCACGCTTTGCGAGCAGGCCCTTTGAGCCAGCTCTTCGAGCTCGCTATGAAAAAGGCAAAGCCTCAAATTGAGGTCAATTTACTTTTACCTTGAAATAGAATAAAATAAAATAATCGTTCATTTTTATTTTACATTTTCCATTTTAAAATTGTCATTCGGTATATTATACACTGCTTCCATTTATTCTGGTTCACTGTCTTATGATGGTTCCCATATAAGTGCACAGGACACCAGTCTACGCTTCCGTTTTCAATCAGAATACTTTGGCTTTTATCGTTATCTTGTAATTGAAAAGTTGCAATGTGTCAATTCAGTACTTTGGACGAGAGTTTTTAAAACCATCACTTTTAGCAGGTACTCGCGTTATTGAAAGCTCGCTAATAAAATAATTGAGAAATGAAGAAATTATACAGTAGTATTGAAAATGTTGTATGGCTCACTCAGTTTGTTCACAGACAACAGTGTCAAATAAAATTAAAAGAAAGTGAATCCGGATCAAATCTGTCCTAAAATCAGTCCTAAAACTAACTTGGCTTATGAGTCATCTCAGCCCTTTACCAACTCAGCATGTGTCAACAGTGATTTTTTTTTTAATTTATAAAACTGGCTTTCTGAAGGGGAAAATATAGCACAATAAATCAGTAAAGGGAAAATTAAATTCTAACAACTGAGAATTTCTATTCAATTTAACATGCATGGTACAAAGCAGAGGTTATCTATAGATGATATAAGTCAGATGCTGTTAAGTGAAGAATGTGCACAGAGCATTTTAAAGGGAATATGTACCTATTTTAGGGAAAACAGCCTTTATTCGGCTGTAAAATACAGTAAAAAAAATCACTGGTCAACCCGGCCCATAACGATATATTGTTGGTATTAAATGGTTACTTTTTTTTAATAACAGGCTGATTAAAATGCCCTATTGGTCTCTTATCACATAAAAATCATATTTCTTGAAAATGATTAATATAATGTATGTTTCTTTCTAACTTGTTTTGTTTATTAAGCATGATTATATATGATACAAGCATATGCTATTACCTTTATTCTATACTGGTTGGTGACCATCAACTGGACATTTTTCCACACAGATTACATAATTTTAAAGCTAAAAAAGCTAAATGCAATAATTTTAGACTATGACTTATTTATTAATTATTCTTTGTAGTTAATCTAAAAGTACCAATTTGGATTTTTACATTTTTACCCCCAATGTTTGTGGCAGAAAAAAAGTATTATGCCTTATGTCACAGATAGGTTTTATTTTGGAATTAAATTGCAATTTGCAAGAAACATCTGAATTTATTTTTGTTGATATATTTTTAGCTGCAAGAGTATGGAGTCCTTACAAAGATTTTCAAAATGTAGTGGAAGCAGCAATCCACAAGAGGCAGACAGATGCTATACATGACCTGGAGGTCATGTTGAAAAGACATAAAAATGACTTTTTAACTTTGCTGAAAAATATTGTAAGTAAGAGTAGAAAAATGGTAGCATTTGAAGATTTGATCCTGCCTTCTATCAAAGTTTCAATGTGTGCTATTACTGTTTTGAGTTGAAACTGATAAGTGAATACACATTTAATGGTTACACAATATTATGTTGGAAGTGTTTAATTTGTATAATTTTGAACTTTAATAAAAATGTATTAAACTTACCAGTAACATATTGACTTAAGGTATTAGCACCCTAATGCATTACCTCCGCTTTGAAGAGTATTCAAATAGGCTAGAACTACTGTTAATAACTACATTGAAAATGAGGGCCATGGGTTCAATCCCCAGAAGGGTCAACTTTTTTTTTCTTTCTTTTTTTCTTTTAACATTATTTATGTATCTCTCATGTCCCATTTGGAAAGAAAAAAGTGTTTAATTTTGATTTTTTAATATATATAGGTATTTATTGGCTAAATTATGCTAAATCTAGTAATAAATATGGTACCTGATATTTTCAAAGTGTAATATAATCAAAACTAGACGGTAAAAGTATTTCATATTTTACAAGATCAACCAATATACTTTTTTAAAAATTTAGGGAAACTTTGAAAACAGGCACTCATTGGGGTAAATTTTAAGAAATTTTTTAATTAGGCTCCCTAAGTAGAAAAATGGTCAGACACATGGTAAAAATTGGTGGGGTAGGGTAACATTTTTATACAGATTTCATAAATTTTAAGAAGAAACCATAATTTTGCTTATTTGGATTGTTAGCTGAATGGTACTATTTGTTTCTTACCAAAAATTAATGGGAAAACATTTTTCATTAAAATGTTATTGCAGATTATTTAAAGGTTCCTACTTTATAAAAAAGGGCCCTCATAACATCCTAGCTTGAGTTCAGAAAAGTGGCCATAACTTGATTTCCATACGGTAAACTTTGTTTAAATTTTGCATACAGGTGTACTTTAAGGTATACATCTGACTTATGATGTCAATTTTTTAGTTCCTGATAGTGCCCATTAGGGTCCTAATATTATACCTTAATCTTCTTTGAAATCGATGTCTATTTGAAAGTTTGAAACACATTTGCAAACTTACTATTTTATTTCAATAATAAAGGATTACTTGAAATAGATGGACATTTTCTAGCTGTGATATAAAGCATAAATGAGCCATGTCATGACAAAACCGACGTAATGCGTTTGCGACCAGCATAGATCCAGACAAGCCTGCGCATCCGCGCAATCTGATCAGGATCCATGCTGTTCGCTATCAGTTTCTCTACTTGTAATAGAGTTTGTAAGCGAACAGCATGGATCCTGATCAGACTGTGCGGAGGCGCAGGCTGGTCTGGATCCATGCCGGTCGCAAACCAATTATGTTGGTTTTGTCATGACACGGCTCAAATTTTCCTGACTTTCAGCCTAAGAATGCCACACATCGTGAAGCAGTAAAGAAGTCAAACACAGTTGGTTTACCAATCCATGGAGAGCAGAGAACACAGACTTTCCCAGACTCCTTTATTGAAGAGGCTATTATTATCAGTGATTTGTTTGATCTGAATGAGTTTGCTGCACTAGAACTGTTGATTGCTGGTAACACTATACTTTTGTATATGTTCAATGTTATAATTTTGGTTAAAATTAATAGATCAAATGTTTATACTTTATTTTATGACGATTGAACTGGAAATTGTCAAGAATTTGAAGAAGTCTTTGCTCCAGATAAATTTCAAGTTCATTTAATGATAACAAATGCTCCTTAAAAATCTTTGATAATGTTCAGCCAAGTAGTCTCATAACAACACAGAGATGTTTTATAATGTTTCAAGTTTGTAAACTTCTGCAGGATTTGTATATAAACATGAAGCTTTAAATAATTTGAACTGCAGGATGGTTTAGGAGGATGACATGGCATATTTGTTTGATATTTAATTGTTGTATTGATACATTTAGGTGAAGACAATCGGCCAGATTTTCCGGGTTTGACCCGGGGACTTGTAGCTGTGTTGCTGTATTATGATGGCCGTAGAAGTTTGGTCAATGCATTACGGACACTGCTTTTGGCACTGTCAGGAAGGACTTGGACTCTTGGTTTATCACCAGATCTCACATATCTTACCAATACTTATGTACAGAAGTTAGTAGAGGAGAATCTTACAAACAAAATTCTTGGTAACTATATGAATACATATTTCTTATTACAATAAACTATGTTACCCAAGAAAAAGTAAAGCTTATTATTTCATAAGCCCTTATAGAGTATAAGCTGAAAACTACCTCACCACCAAATCTAAATCTTATGAAATGTTTTTAAACACATAAACTGTAAAATTGTATTGTTCCAATGATATTATGAAAGATTTGAAATAGTTGTTACATACAGTGACACACATGAATATTGTATGTAAACAGAATGACATGTCCCTGATCATAATATAATGCTGCTGTTTTAAATCTAGGGTTTTAACGCTTAAAGGGACTCCACTGAGGTTAGCGCAAAAGCCTAAAAAATAACATTTTAATTTCTTACATAAATGAGCTGGGGCACTATATGCAAAGATAGTTAAGAAATATACTTTGAAATAAGTTAAAAGTCATATAAATGTATTTATGCTTTTCTTAGCCCGATTTGAGTGAAAAGCGTTTAAACGCTTTTCATTTTAGGTCATTTTTTACAATTTGAATAATTATTCTTGAAAAACAAAGTGCATGGATGATCTGAAATTTTGCACAAAGATTAGTGGTCTAAACCTTCATCAAATGGTACATTGATCTGGAAAAAATAATTTCAGTCCCATCATGTCAAAAAACCTCAGTGGAGTCCCTTTAAGCAACAATTTCATGCATGTGACATTCACTTTAAAGGAAATCCGAAATATACAAACATATCATTCATACAAATAAGAAGTATTCTTTGTTCAAAATTCAAAATGTTGTGTTATTTTTGCAGTAGACATATACATTTAGCTTTATACACTTTAAAGGAAAGGCTTTAATTGGTTACCATCAGACTTGTGAAAACAAATGTAATGAAACAGTATAATGAGTTGTTTTCTTAATGGATCATTCTGCTGACTTGATGCATTTGATTAGAATAGACCTGTTCATTTATATATCTTATTAATAATTACTCTGCTAATTTTTAGATGTGTTGAAAGGTATGAATGTGACAGCAGAACTTGATAAACTACAGAATAACAGAGCACTAGGACCTCCAAAACATAAAAAACAGGTACTCTAAATATTAGCGTATTATTACAGTTGTACATGTATTAGTAATAGTTCACCTTTATCTTTTATGTAATAGAGCATCATGAAGGAAAACTTTGATATATGTGTTATGATTTGTCATGTTTTTGTGTTTACTAATTCTAAATATTAATAATTGTTTGACATGAATTGACAAACATGTTGCTTGGGAACCAAATGTTTTTAAAGTTTTGATGATTTAAATTAATATCTTAAAATGGTCATCCATGATAAAAAGTATTCACATACCTTGTATCATGAGGACTTTACCAACATGGGTTTAAATTCTTTCTTTGATCATTAAAGACCCGTTGTTTACACATGTGCCCAAATGTGCCCTGTCGATTAATGACTGGAGTTGCAGTTAGGACCTGTCTTTTATCTGTCTGGATATTTACAATAACACTTTAAGTGTTTTTATGCCACCGCAGCATCTGCGATGCGGTGGCATATAGCGATTCACCTGTGTGTGTGTGTGTTTGTGTGTGTGTTTGTGTGTGTGTTATATAGATTATATAGTGAACTTAAAAAATCTTCTTGTGAAAAACCACTAGTCCAATTTCAACCAAACTTGGCAGGATTGTTCCTTGGGTGAAGGGCTTCCAAAGTTGTTCAAAGAATTTCATTCCATGCAGAAATCTGGTTGCCATGGCAACCAAAAGGAATTATAAGAATAAATTTAAAAAATCTTCTTGTAAAGACCCAAAAGGCCTAGAGCTTAGATATTTTGCATAAGGCATTGTCTGGTAGACCTCTAACAAGATTGTTCAAATTATAGCCCTGGGGTCAAAATTGGCCCCGCCCCGAGGGTCATTGATTTTCACTATGTACATATAGTAAAAACTTAAAATACCTTCTTGTAAAACCCAAAAGGCCTAGAGCTTAGATATTTTGCATAAGGCATCTTCTGGTAGACCCTTACCAAGATTGTTCAAATTATAGCCCTTGGGTCAAAATCGGCCCCGCCCCGGGGTCATTGAATTTCACTATATGTACATATAGTAAAAACTTAAAACACCTTCTTGTAAAGACCCAAAAGGCCTAGAGCTTATATATTTGCGTAAGGCATTGTCTGGTAGACCTCTACCAGATTGTTCAAATTATAGCCCTGGGGTCAAAATCGGCCCCGCCCCGGGGGTCATTGGTTTTCCTTATATGTATATAGTAAAAACTTATAGTAATAGTAAAAACTTCAAAAAAAATTCATCTAGCAATTGACAAATGCTAGAGGTTAGATATTTTGCATGAAACATTGTGTAGTAAACCTCTAGCAAGATTGTTCAAATTATAGCCCTGGGGTCAAAATTGCCCCCGCCCTTGGGGTCATTGATTTCAATATATACATATAGTAAAAAATAAATAAATCTTATTGTCTGAAGGTACAAGGCTTAGAGCTTTAATATTTGTTAAATTATATCATCTGAAGGTACTCAACAAAATTTATTCAAATTTTGCCTCTTTGTGTGTCAAAATTAGCCCCGCCCCCTGGTGGCCATAGGTTTTCCTTATATGTATATAGTACAAACTTAAAAAATCATCTTCTCTAAATTTACAAGGCTAGAGTTAAGATATTTTGCATGAAACATTGTGTAGTGAACCTCTGGCAAGATTGTTCAAATTATAGCCCTGGGGTCAAAATTGGTTCCGCCCCGGGGGTCATTGATTTTCATTATGTACATATAGTGAAAAAATAAAAAAATATTTTTGTCTGAAGGTACAAGGCATAGAGCTTTGATGTTTGATATATAATATCATTTATAGGTCCTCTACCAAAGTTGTTCAAAATTTTCCCCTGGTGTCAAAATTGGCCCTGCCGGAGGCAGTGATTCTCATTATGTACACATAGTAAAAACAGAAAATAAAACAAATGTTTTCTGAATGGGAGAAAGCTATAGCTTAGATATTTGACTTGAAATGTTGTTTGGTGGACCTGTATCAAAATTGTTTTGAATTAAACCCTTGGGTCAAAATTATGCCTTGCCCAAGGGGACAGTGACCTACTTTCTTGTCCTTTGATGTACAGCAATGACATTTTGACCATGTGCACAGTTTTAGTTGTAAAATTGAACTTTGATATCAGGTGACCTAGATTTTGATGATGTGACCTACTTTCTTGTCCTTTGGTGTACAGCTATGAAATTTGAACCATGCGGTGGCATAGCATTTTTATCAAATGCAATCTTGTTGTAACTTAAAAACCATATCTCTTTAATATCATTCTACCATTCTCTTTTACCTTGTTTTTGTTTAATATTTGAGCCGCGTCATGACAAAACCAACATAATGGGTTTGCGACCAGCATGGATCCAGACCAGCCTGCGCAGTCTGATCAGGATCCATGCTGTTCGCTTACAAACCCTATAACAAGTAGAGAAACTGATAGCAAACAGCATGGATCCTGATCAGACTGCGCGGATGCGCAGGCTGGTCTGGATCCATGCTGGTCGCAAACCCATTATGTTGGTTTTGTCATGGCACGGCTCATTTATATTGTGTTACATATATTCACACAGATACAGGATATGTATGAAGAGATTCAGGTGACATGTGCTGAGTGTTTGTTCTGCCTCTCGTGTCAGAAACCCCTCAGTAAGGAAGACACAATACAGCTTATCTCCTACCTGAAGAACGATAACTCCCTGCAGGCCAACGGTTCTGTGTCATCAGTTACTCTTAGTCTACTAATGGCTTTACTCTATTGTTTTGATGTCTCTGTACTAGAGAGAGAGGATGCTGAAGGTTTGTAGGTCTCTTTAAGTAAATCATATACAGCAAAACTTTTCGTCAAAAGAAAATTGAAATTTTCTCATATTCAGTAGTTCAAAACAAGTATGTTACACTGCGAAATTTGTGAATATTTCGAAACATGCTGTTGGCATAAATTTCTTAGGGATGCAGGTCTAACTAGCAAAGGTTTTAAGTTATACTGTTAGATAAAATATTTGTAATGATATGTCTTGAGGGGCTTCAAGAATTGCAAAACAAGTCTTACTTATTGTAGAGAATTTATCTAATTAACTGTTTGTAGAGAAGAAGGGCATAACCCATTATCTGTGTATTTTGACATTGAATGATTGGAGAATGGCGTAAAATGTTTATAAATTAATATATTTCTCTTGCAGAAATCACAGGTTCTATGCCTGTATTCAGTGATCCTAGCTACATTAGTGATGTACACAAGGAGCTGAGAGATGGTGGGGACTGGAAGATACCGGGTCTGAAAGCTATTGTCCAGTTTGCATGGGGTGTCATGTTAAGACAATTATCTCAATATCCACTAGCAGCTGGTGAGTATTTTCCATGCTAGTAGATTAGTATGCGTATTGCCTTTGATGCCCTTGAAAATAGAAATGGCTACTATGTTTGCTCATATATTAGACAAGTTGCTAATAATTCTTAAATAAGACTCACTAGGTGTATATTACAGTCCATGAAATTGAAGACTGAAAACTAGTCCTATATATTGGCAGATACATGTTGATAGACTAAACTGATTACTATCATCCTCTTCCCTCACAAACATGCATTTGTTATTATGCCCCCACAATGTGGGAGCATATAGCGTTGCACTTGTCCGGCCGTCCGGCCGTCAATCCGTCCGTCCCGAAATCTTGTGAACGCAACTCCTCTTAAACCAGATAGCAGATTTTGCTTAAACTTACAGGGATGAACAACCTTAATGTGTAGATGGTAGTAAAGGAAGGAATTTTCGCTGCGACCAAATTTAAGAGAATTTAACAGAATTATGGCCCTTTGTTGATTTTTTCACTAGATACTATGTAGAAATTTTGGGAACGCAACTCCTCTTAAACCGGATGGCAGATTTGCTTAAACTTACAGGGATGAACAACCTTAATGTGTAGATGGTAGTAAAGGAAGGATTTTTTGCTGCGACCAAATTTAACAGAATTATGGCCCTTTGTTGATTTTTTCACTATCAGGGTTCCCACGCTGTCTGGGAAAACGGGAAATGTCCGTGAATTTGGAAACAGGAGCTCCCGGCCTTGAAAAGTTCGGGAATAAGTGTTGATAAATAAAAAAGTCCGGGAAGGTACGGGAATTAGTCTGGTAAAGGGGAGGTAAATCAAACAACCAAAATGGCGGTCTTAGCACAGTATATTGACTTCCGCATCATGGATGTTGATGATTTTTCTATTTACAAGTGTTTTGGGAGGCCAAATTTGACATTTATGAGATTTAACATTTATTTTCTTGTTACTACTGGCATGGGAGCAGTTCCCGTACAAAAATCATAGTTACTTAATCATTATTTTTTATTACGCTCACTCACCAATATTTGAATGTTACACATCAATATTCGGCTCGTCACACAAATCATGGAAATTCCATCATGTTCTAAACATAGAATAACCCTTACTTATGAGGCCTCATATGGGGTACCGAAATTATCCATTATTTTGTATGAAGAGAAGTAGTTCCCGTACATAAAATCTAACCCATTATAATTATACAATTTTATTATATCAGACCTATTTTTCATTTACAATTGTTGAACAGACCATTATATATATCTAAGAGATAAATACAGTAAAAACTCGCTAATGAGACCAATGATGGGACTTTACAAATCTGGTCTTAATAGCGGGTTGGTCTCATTAATGAGTTTGGTCAAACAGAAAACCAGGCAATATATTAAGGGATACCATGTACTGTACACAGGTTTAATTCTGGGCTAACCTATTTCAAATGAGAAGATATAAAGCATACACTATTATTTTTTTATTTTCATTTATTTTCTTTTACTTTTTAACATTATAAAATTTTTAAACTTCTTTACAGTATGAATGTCTTTAAAGACAAACATATTTTTACATTCTTGTTAAAAGAACGATACGACTTACTCAATTAAATCACCATTTTACTACAAAGCACAACGACAATTAACCTTTAATTATTTTCACAGTTTTCATCGCCGATAACTACTTCAAAACCTAATTGTATCATGTTTATGTTTGTTTAAAATTATGGAACGAAAGAGATAATGATAGCAGCAACACCTCTAAAAAACTTGTTGAAAGTTTTCTGTTCAATATTTTGTTGTTTTAATCCTCCAGTTATGACATAAAAGGTGTGAAATTAAGAAATTATCGACAATATTATTGATCATTTCCGGGTTTGATACAAAGTAACCTTGACCTCTGCCGTAAATTGGATGTCGTTAAATGTCGTAAAACTAGGACAACTGTTGTTTACATCACGTGTCAAAAAGATTTCAGCAATATACATACATTTCAATATCAAGTTGAGAAAGTGCCCGCGGTCGTATTTATGGGTTTCCAAATGTACAGTATTTACGAAATGGGACTGAATTTACTGGTCGTATTACGGAATAACGGGGTGGTCTCAAAATCGGGGTTAGCGACCATTACAATAAAGAATAAAAAAATCGGGTCTTTAAAAATCGTTCGTATTAGCGGGTTGGTCTCGTAAACGGGGTGGTCGTAAAGCGGGTTTTTACTGTAGATGTAATTCAGGAAATAGAGCGTAGACTAAACGCGGGTATCTATTACCCGGTACCGTTACCCCAACGCATTCATATGCAGTGACATGCTTGTATGCATGATATTTTACGCATTAAAGCCATAAAATTATTATTTATAGTAATATTGGTCAACATTATGATAATTAAACAATTTTTCATCGCATTGCCTATTTATTTGTAAACAGGTGGTATTAGTGGAAAACCCTTTAACAAGTCTCACGTTAAAGTATTTTTGCGCATGCGCGCAAGGACGGAATCCCCCAGAGAAAACAAGTACATGTTTTGACGACGCATAGGTGAAAGTGATTTAAAATGAGACTTTATATACGTACTGAGGAACTGACACTTAGATTTTGTCTCGTTTATGTATCTGCTTGATTTGAAATGAATTTTTGAAGAATGCAAGTAAAAATCAAGTGTTTAAATGAAAAATACGGGTACTGCATCTGTACGGGAACTGCTCGCATGCCAGTATGGCGGTTTTGTTTGGAAAATCTAATAACACAGTCACAAATCAACCTCAAGTTTGCTTGATTGGCCCTTGCTAAGATGGAAGCTCACAGGTCTGGTTGTTTCCTTGGTCAATTTTTTTATCCTAATTGCTCACAACCATGCTAAAAGCCAAAGGTTAATCAATATAAAATAAACAATAGTATTGCATACATGAACTATTGTCAAGGCAGAGCTCAGCCTATTTACCACTCCATACTGTATTCCTAGAAAAGATTTCGCGCATTTTAAGTTAGCGCTTTTCGCGGTAGGCATCATTTCGCGCATTTTTATAGCCGCGAATATGTCACTTATAACAAATCCGCGAACATTTCTAGCTTCATCCAAATAAAAACATCAACATGCAGAATATTTATTGTAATTTACTCACACAAAAAACATATAAACACAGGTGCTATCGAATGTGTAAAGAATTATGTAAAGTTCTGTGACGTCACACAACTACGTGTATACAGTATACATACGGGGGTTTAATATGCAATGACAAAATTAATGCACAAAACATGATTTATATACACATGCACAAGCACGAATGACAATCATTATCAGTTACAGTGAGTTGATTTACTCTTTAGAAAGCATCCCAGAACGGTACCAGCCACATTTAATCAAGTCTTTTCTCTGTTTGATTTTTTCGAAGGCATTCATCATCCATTTAGCGTGTACTGGTTTAATAGTTGACAGTTTTAAGTCTATATTAAGTTTTTCAACATCAGTGCCCTTATCAAGCTGTCGCTGCACTATATCCGCATACCAGAGCGTGAACTCTTTTTTTACTTCATCTTTGACTTGAGCATTTCCAGACAAATCGAGAGGCTGTAGTTCACCTGTGCAGCCACCCGGTATAAACACACACTTAAAGTTAGATTGTTCTAGCTTTTGTAAGAAGGCATCAACGCGGTGTGCAGCGAAACAGTCAAAAATCAGCAATGCGGGGTGTTTAAGAGCAAGATCAAGAGATTCTCGAGTTTCGTTAATGTAAGGGGACAACACTTTGTCAACGAAGCGAATCATTGAATGCTCATTTGACCAGTGATTTTCCGTATGAAAAATATCCCAGTCTTTAGGAAACTGTATACTGGGATGGCATTGATCTGTTTTCCCTTGATAAAGAAGTTGTGGGGGTAGAAGTGTGCCGCTCATAGTACATGACAAAAGTGCAGTTATCTGCCTTTTATCCTCAAGGCCAGTTATAGATACCTGTTTGGACCCTGAAAAGAAAATTGTCAATTATTAGTAATTATCATGCTTATTGTCGTTATTCGCTAGTTACAGCGTATACAATAGCATTTACAGTTTGCGTACATTGAATGACTTGGATTTTATTTGCTTGGATTAGGTGTAGGTGTAATCCTTTGTTAAAAGTACAATAGCGATCAAGTGCCACATTGATAAACAGCGGTTATGTTGTTATAATGAAAGCGATATTACAGTAGCATGACATAACAGTTATATAAATCCAGACGTCTGGAACGAAAAAAAAACGGTTAATTTTCTGCTACTTTTAATGTAAATCATGAATTGCATGAATTGTTAAATCTTTAATGTGACATACATAAATGGAAAATATGCTTTACTACATGCGCATATACAGGGGTGGAGACCGGGAATAATTTATTAGTCCCCTACCGGTTTACCGGAGGGGACTTTAGGTTTACCCTCCGTCCGTCTGTCCGTCCGTCTGTCTGTCCTTCAGTCCGTCCGTCCGTAAAACTGGATCCCGCGATAACTTGAAAAGTACTGAAAATATTTTTATGAAACTTGGTATATGGATAGATGGCAGTATGGAGATTATGCACGTCTTTTTCTTTTCTTCCTATGTTGAAAATTCTGGTTGCTATGGCAACAAATAGGCTGAAAATATGGCAAATTTTACACATAAACTGGATCCTGTGATAACGTCAAAAGTACTGGAAATATTTTTATGAAACTTTACATATGGGTAGATGGCAGTCTTGAGATTATGCACGTCTTTTTCTTTTCTTCCTATGTTGAAAATTCTGGTTGCTATGGCAACAAATAGGCTGAAAATATGGCAAATTTTACACATAAACTCGATCCAGTGATAACGCAAAAAGTACTGGAAATATTTTTATGAAACTTGACATATGGGTAGATGGCAGTCTTGAAATTATGCACGTTTTTTTCTTTTCTTCCTATGTTGAAAATTCTGGTTGCTATGGCAACACATAGACTGAAAATATGGCAAATTTTACACATAAACTGAAACCAGTGATAACTAAAAAAGTACTGGAAATATTTTTATGAAACTTG